GCAACTCTAATTAGGTAAGTATGCCACAATGACGTCCATTTTGTAGGTTCTATGAGGTGTCGATTTTACCTCTTACAATATAAAACTGGTGAGGGATTATTTCCATCACAATTGGACCCAACATAAATAATTTAATTTGTGATTGATTACAGGTCTCTGCATTGTATAGATGTCATGAGGTCGGGTCATCACGTGACTGCGCCCTTAATTGTTGGTAACGCTGGATTTGCTCAAAATTGTTACCAGGCACGTTGTGACAGTCTAATTTGGTATGGTTACAAGCACTGGTCTAACAAGGGTCGCTACTACTTGAAATCCTAATATAGAACTACTAAATCTAATAGAATCCGCCCTCTTGCTACACCCTAATTGGTAGGCGTCGATTGAGGCGTGGATTGGTTTGGTCCGAGGATAGGGTGTTTTTGATTACTGTAGTGTTCACAGGATCAATACTTCTGGATTGACCTTACTCTTTATGCTTGATTTCTTGATAGTACCAAGACTTTACTTTTTAATTCCCTATTTCAATGGCTACTATATTAGCTTCTCTATTTTTCTAGTGTGCCTGAGTTCTAACTAACTGTCGGGTTTCGAATTCTGGGGTCACGTGTCACGGGATCACGATTCGAGGCGATTACGTATATAAGTTTATTTAACAATAGGATCAATCACCAACTTAATCAGTTTATTGATTCTATATAAAAGGGGTCGATTACTAAAAAGATCTTTCTTTTTTACTTTTAGCGGATTATCGATAACGGGTTTTTACTAATCACGGGACAAGATAAATACAACTTTAGGGTACTTAAGGAACTACTACTATTATTTCGTAGTTTTCGAACTCAAGAGGGAAGTTATCTTTATTTTTGTACGAAACATTGAGTCTTTAAATACATTTTCATTTTATAGAACTTTACTGACATATCTGCTTTTTTCGCTATTACTATTGTGAGCCCTGAAATCGGTCATACGTGGCACGTGATCGATCGTCGAATTTAGGTCCCGACGCCTACCCGAGTAATTGGTCACATGAAAAGTAAGGTTTATCTTACTTTTCTTACTTTTATTACATTTATTACTTTTATTACTTCGGGTAGATCGACGGTATAAGGGACATTCGGTTTTTCGGTATTATAGTGGGAAAAGGAGTTTTAAGGCTAATATAGTGTAAATAGATAATGTAGAGGAAATTATCCTCGAATGTAAATAAACGCTTTATTATAAATAAAGGGCTTTCCGCCCAGAGGGGGAAAGTAACAAGCGATACCCCCAAGTACATACAAGTACATACATTTTGCCTAATAAACTTACAGTATCGGACCCATATAAAAATAAACTATAATCCCACCTAAACTAAAACTATCGTTAAAAACACCGTAATCAAATACCAATCGCCTATTATTAAATCACTAAAACCGCATTTTTGTTCGTTCGCCGCAGATCACGTGACCAAGCCGTTAAACGAAGAGAAGGACTCCAACCCGATTCGACGTATCGTAACCCCAGGTTAAAGAAGTAAAGGGAGGACAAGACAAGGCAAAGGGTTAATAGAAGTATAGGTTGAAGGAAAGACTTAGAAAGAAGAGAAGAATAGTACTTACCTACGGATAAACCACCCTGCCAAATCTAACACACCTATTTCGACTTAACCGCCGTAGGTTACGCAAGAGTTGGATTAGAGTAGCAACCGAATCGCCGAATCCCGAATAACACTATCATTAATACTAGCACTTTATTAGCAGATCTGGCGGTTTTGGTAGTTTGTAGCCATTTTTGGCTAGATCAACCCGAACCATTTCGGCGACGATCTTTCGACGAATTTTCCCTCTTACAACGTACAGTACAGTACGTGGCACGAGGTCTCACTAAACTTAAATACGATCACATGAATTGTGGAGATGGTTCCGTTCAAACTTTTTGATGTGGCCAATCCTTGGTAGGAAATTATTATTAGGCAGCTGCACGACTACGTCACGCTGAAACCAGGAACGAGGTTAATTTTGGTGCTAGTATCTTATAAAAAAGTATATATCTTTACGATATATCTTATAAAAAAGTATATATCTTTACGATATTTTAAGGCAATAAATTACAATACGAATTGATTAAATAAACAAAACCAATATTTGAGATAGATTTTTTATAAAAGAAAAATTGTGTTTGCGATTGGTTCTTATTCAAAGTTAAAAGCTGAATCGTAGAGTATGGAATTCGAGAATCGCTAGTCATTCGTAAAAATGTAATAGAATAATATAACAAGTCTGCAAGTATGCATAATATTGTTAAAAAAAGATGAACTCAACAGAAAATTTTAGAAAAGTGATGTTGTGAAAGTATATAAGTTATGTCGTGAAATCTTAGTATACTGTATAACAGAAACCGTGAAGAATTTCAAATAAGCTTATTATTAATAAATATGTACAAAAGAATCAATTAATCTTGTACATGCAAAAGATAAGCAGATACATGTAAGGAAGATAAAAGTGGTATTTATTTATATATTTATTATATTAACAAGCCCAAATTAATAATACATAACACAATCTATAAGCACGTTACAAAAATTGAGCATATTCATTTAGTTTAGTTAAGCCTAGCATATGCAGTTTTGATAAAACGCTTTTAGTTACCTTATTCCAGGCAATCCCAAAGTTCTTTGAGAGTTTAATCTTTTTTGATTCTTTTGTACGATGAACTTTAACACTTCGTTGAAGTTATAAACAATGCTTGCAGTGATTTTGATTAGTGAAAATTATGCTCTTAAAATATACTTCTAAATATATAGATAAGTTACGTACGTATGTACTGTCACAAATTCTTAATTGGTGACATTGAGAAATCGATTTTTCGTCTTTCTTAATTTGTAAATAGATAAATTTCTTTTTAAATATGTATAAATTCATTTTATTACTATTTCATACGATATATTCAGTATTAATCAAATTTGAGAAGGAAACTTGTATATATCCTGTGATGATCCATTTTGTATAGCGCGTTAACATGTTAGCACACCTTTCTTCGGCACTATACTAGCTATTTCTCTTAGGATGAAATCAAAGAGATAATTCTCTGACTTTATTAAATTCAAATTGTTCGATTATACGTTATACACATTTAGATTCATCATACTACACGTTTACGTGCTACTTAGCATGATACCATTCCATCTAGCATATTGGCATGCTATCTTGAATATGCTAGAATAATTTTTTACCCTTTTATTGCATGCACCTTTATTTAGTGAAAATCGAAAACCCATCTCTCAATTCATCTATATCTTTCAATAATTATTAGAGTTAGATCGGTATTGTCTCGAATTACAATACGTACCTGGGCAATTGATTACACTAGTCAATTAACCGAATTTTTTCTTAATTATGTTTTTTTTTAAAGCAGACCAATATGTAAACGCATAGCTTTATATAATCACTTTATGTCCAGCACGGAAATATATGAACTAGTTGAAATCTTAATTATTGTAGGGAAAAAATGTGGCTATGTAATCTTACGGGATATGAAAATCTGGCGATATGTGACGGATACGATCACGCTGACCAATCGGATTAAATATTTTGCCGACCAGAGATAATTATAAATATTGGTCATGCGACAATTAAAACCATTAAATTTGCTCTATCAAAGTAAGTGATTGGCTTACATGTGCTACGCAGCGGCACATGCAAGCAAAGCTCTACACGAAATTACTTTGTGAAATAACATCTATGAAATGAACTTATGAGTTAATCGCCCATAAAATATTCTTGCCTGTCTATTAACTAGGTTGTCTACGAAGTGATCGTTTACAAAATAAGCATTAACAGCTGTCACACTAATTTACCTTCTTTTAAGCCCCAATTGTGCTAATTATTCTATTTTGCTATTCGTCATTTTATTCTGCGTCACTCAATGGTATCAAACTATAAGTCGGTTAAAGCAGCATTCATTCATCGAGTTGGCATACATACAACAGGGGCTAAGCAGAGATGTAAGCTTCTCACTCACATGGTTCAGGTCAATGACTGGTCATGAGCTTTTTTAGATAGCATGTGAAAATTATCGCAAAAATTCATAAATGCAGATGAGCATGATTTAAATCACTTTACATATAAAGGGGTCGTTTAAAAGAGGAGCATAATCACATGGTAAACGACCAATCAAATTATAGAATTTTGATGAGCAAGAAAAAAAAAGCGAAAAACTTGAAAAATACAAAAAATAGTAGTCTAAACCTACATTGAGTAGGTTAAGTAAAGATGTCGGGAAGCTACCCAAACCCTGCTCTAACCCTAATTCAAGATGACCCTAACCCTAAAGTTAATTCGTAAAATATATATTATAAGAATCTACTCCACTTTAGACGTCCCCCATATAAAGTAAGTACCGGATCTAATTACAAGTAAGAAGCTCCGAAAACCCACCCAAAAACAATCATTTCTGCTGCGAAAAGCAAGTCACACTTGCAACCCGATCCCCTTGCCCAGAAACCTGACAGTTTAAAATAATCACTAATTCAGGGTTAATTCCCACTTTAGCGATCTCTAAAATTAGTAAAGGTGCAGACATATTGACGTAATAAGATCGTAACTTAATTACTTAAAATAGGGCGTACAATATGTCTGTGCCTCTAGTAATGAGTCATGAGAAAAAACGTGCGTTGTGTCAACGCCAATTAGCTTTAAGATTTTGGTTTCAATTTATTCTCTAGTAAAACCATCCACTCACGTATGCATATTATGAGACAATAGTAATATGCAGGAACCGTACGTTTCATACAATATTCATATTAATTAGAAACAGCAATAATAAAACACAAGCCGCAAAATAAATACTTATGCGCAGAAAAAGCAAAATTATGAATTTTACGGAATTGGCAATTTATTGCCGTAGAAAAATCATCGATCCTGATTTCGTGTAACATGTCCTGCTTTTCCCTCACAATTATATAAATCGTCAATAATCAAAATTTGTTTATCAATTCAAAATGATATTATTGTCAAACGAATGTTTCCTTGAAATATTTAATTATCTACAACACAAAAGCTTATTTTCATGTATACTGGTAAATCGTCAATGGTTTAGATTTATTGCACCAATTTTATGGAGTGAACCTCTAAATTATTTTGATGATGTAAAAATTATAAGTATATACCTCTCGCTATTAAATGCTGAAGAACAAGCTTCGTTAATTCCATTTGAATTAATACTTCCAAATGGACCGAAACCATTGATCAATTATGCTACTTTTATTACCACTTATGAAGACAATTGTCTTAACAGATCAATAGAAAATTGGATTGATAATGAAGGTCGTGAACTTCGTAATTCAACAAATTATGATTATGAATATTATAAGAATATAATTCAAATAATTAAATGTTCATTGATTGCAATGTTTTTACGAACAAGTAAAAAACTCAAATTTGTAACCTTTTACGGTCATGATTATGGTATATTTACAAAAACTTTAATAGAAACCCTTTATAGAAATAAAACTATTAACGACATTGATTTTAATTATCTTGATCTTGGTTTTTATGAAGTAAAAGCAATAGCGGATGCTCTTGCTAAAAACACCACTCTCAATTCATTAAGTTTTACTCATAACAATAGTCCTGAAAGTGGAAAATTAATAGCTAAGGCACTTTACGAAAATACTACTCTTTCATCTTTGAGTTTTAATTTTAGTAATCTTGATGATGAAGATGGAAAGATATTAGCAAATGCTCTTTTTAAAAATTCTACTCTAACATCTTTGGACCTTTACGGTAATCAACTTGGTGTTGAGAGCATAAAAATACTGGCAGAAGTTCTTTGCAAAAATATGTCTTTGACTTTATTAAATCTTGGTAGTAATTGCTTTGGCGTTGAGGGAGGAAAAGTAATTGCAGAAGCCCTTCGAAAAAATATTACGCTTACATCTTTAAATCTTCAAAATAATAATATTGGCGTTGAAGGTGCAAAAATATTGGCAGATGCACTTTGTGAAAACACATCTTTGACCTGTTTAAATATTGAAAATAATCAACTTGGCGTTGAGGGAATGAAATTATTGGCAGTTGCACTTTGTAAAAATACCTCGTTAACTTCTTTAGATCTTTGTGATAATCAACTTGGTATTGAAGGAGGAAAAGCATTAGCAAATGCTCTTTGTAATAACATCGGTCTTAAATCTTTAAATATTGCTTCTAACGAATTTGACCTTGAAGGAATAGAAAATTTAGCGAAATCTCTTTGTGAAAACTCAACGCTTACTTCTTTAAATATTCTTTATAATTTTATTAATGTTAATGAAGGAAAAGCATTAGCACAGGCACTTCGAAAAAACTCATCCTTAATGTCATTAGATATTAGTATTTGTCCCCCTGATGGTGAAGATGTTTTAAAAGAAATTGCTAAAGCTTTACGCAAGAATACAACTTTAACTTGTTTGACTTTTTACTATAGTGATGACGATGATGATGATGATGATAATGATTCTGCGTATGACAAGATTGTAGATACGTTGGAAAAAATTCAAAAAAAGATTAGAAAAGATATTGATATTGCTCTTCAATATGATAAATAGAAATATTAATGACATTAAAACTTTAATCATGAATTATAAATAATATTTGAAGCGTAAACCAATTTAAACTTTAAATAAAATACCAAATTTCCAAAAAAAAAATTCTTATTATACAGTCATTTATTATTCCACCGAATTTGTGAATCATTAAATTTGTTAAAAATTTTGATTTCAGATAATAAATCTATTTTAAAGCATTCTCAAGCGTTTTGATCAATGGGTCAAAGGATGCCGAATATATGTCAGGAATTAAATTTTAATTAGCAGAAAGTAGTTTTTATTGATCATCGAGCTTGTCATTAAGATAAATAAGGTAGTTTATTACGTAAAGAAAATTTTAAATAGTAAAAAAATGAACAGTGAGTTTACCGTACAGCGCTGCATACAGTACTCCCCTGGAGTAATATTCCCCCCTTTTTTTGACAAGCGATTTGTGATCTAATTTTCTTAATTATAGTGCGATCTTTTCATAGGGTTTGATATGTCTAATAGCAAGGTATATATTGATCAGTAACAATTATTTGTATTATCCTCCAATCTTCCAATATTTGGGGGGTATTATTCAATCTAGGCCAGCTTTCTTGAAAAATACCCGGGATACTATATGCAGCGCTGTACGGTACCATTTTAGTCAAAAAATTTTTTACCTGAACCATCAAAATTTTATAAATATTAAAGTTAATAAATTATTACTCAAACTTTTTTATACTTTTATTATGGATTTTCATTATGGGTACATATTTTTTGTAAAATTTTTGATTAACTATTTCAATTTCAATTATATAATAAATTTGTACTATTACTTCTGATTTAACTATGATTACATAATTCAAATAAAATTATATAACGCTTAAAAAAAATATTAGATTTTTGTATAAAATAAATTATTACTTATCATTAATACTGTATAATGCATTATTGTTTCGTGATATTTTCTAATTCATATCAATCATTAATTGTCAAATATTATTCATAAAAAATAATGTTTGTTTATTATTGATGAATAGAGCGTAAGGTGTAATTCTTTAAAAGTTTTAGACAGAAAAACTTAATTAAATCAACAATGAAACTTTAAAGAAATATATATTAAAACAAATAGATAATAAATAGTATATACTAATACATATATTATTTACAGTAATTATAAAATCATAATGCATTACTATTTTTGAATACTGTACAAATATATTATGTAATTCTAATATTTTAAAAAATTTTAATCCTTTAAGATTGGTTAAGTAATGAGTGTATCTATGTAACAGATGTGGAAAATGGTATTTCATAGAACATACGCTAGGCAGTGAAAGGAAACTTTGTTCAAGTTGTCAAAACTCTTATTTGCTGTATATGCAGATTAGAATGAAAAGATAAAGGTAGATGCTTGAGAAACATTTTATTAATTCTGAATTCTTTAAGTAATGAGTGATCTACGAAACAGAAGTAGAAAATGGTATTTCATAGAACATATGTCAGGAAGTGAAAGGAAACCTTGTTCAAGTTGTCAAAGCTCTTATTTGTTGTATATGCAAATGAGGATAAAAAATAAAGGTTGATGCTTGAGAAACATTTTATTAATTCAGAATTTAACCTGAATACTCATGATTTTTTGATTATAAAGATCCTTTATAGTTGCACCTATGATGTGTAATGCATGTTTGATATTGGAAAAGTTATAATGCATTAAAAAATAAAGCTTTGATCATACTGTATATAATGATAAAAATAAGAAGCATCGTTTTTTATCAAGATTATAAACATATATATAATACTTATTACTAATCTCAGAAGTTCTATGTTATAGGTTCAAAATTATTTTATATCAAAAAATTCTCTTACAATATTAAATTTAGTAGAAAAAATATTAATAGATAAAAATTTGCAAATATGATTAATAATTAGAATATTTTATTTTAGAAATCATATATTTTATTATTTTTGGTAATCATTACAATAAAGCATTGGGATGTGGTGACCTAGTGAAGTGGTCAGGTTGTCAACCCCCAAGTGGTAGGTTGGGTGTTCAAATCCTATTGACGGCGAAAATTTGGATAATCACCTATGTAATATTCATATTATGACAACTGTTACTAATGATTGGGTTAGGATACCTGTAATGGTGGTCACACCAGCATGACTGGCAGGTCATGGAGCATCTGTATAAGTATGGCATTACACAGAGGAATGCAAACCAACAAATCGGGTGGTGCAAACACTAGATAAGTCCTTGTGACCATGTAAATCTGTTGAAATTGGGTAACAAAAAGTTCATTTGGGAAGACTCAAGTAGAAAGGTAGCTGGATCTTTGGCGGCCCTACTGTAAAGGCTAGTCTAGAGAAACAGATACCAAGATCATAGTACCCAGTTATAGTATCTAGTTGTAGTAGCCAAACAGGCAAGAACTTCTGGGTTGAGAGGCTTAGAGGTACCACCAACCAGGACACCAAAACAAATTGAAGGAAAAGGATATTGGGCCAACCTGATATACTAATGAACTGGTTGTAATCCTATATGGGCTATCTGAATTGGGAGTTTGGTAAAAAGACTGAACAAAAAGCAGAGGTATACTAAAGTACCAGGATTATGATATGAAGTAGATGCTAGGGTCTAAGTGAACTCTACAAGGGCATAGTAGTTTAATAGTTAGTCCTAACCACAAGTATTGGTTCTGTCATAGTGATATCTAGGTCAGCTATAAAAATGGATACAGAAGGCTCTGAGAGGTTTACCTTAAGAATAAATTAGTTTTAAGGTTGAGTATAATGATCTGGTACATCTGAGATAACCAGTGATATTAATACAGGTTACAGGTTCAGAGAGTTTAAAATGGAACATCCAAGTAGAGGTGTTAGATATGACAATTGGTAGAAAACCTTCAGGCAGACTTCTTAAATAGGTAATATAGAAAAGTTACATGTATAGCCAATTGTACACTCTCTTGTAGTAGTTCATTGAACCACAATACTGATAAGTAATTAATAAAAGTCAAAAGACCAAAGAGGTCACCATAATACCAAAAAAAAAAATTAAATAAAATAATAATGATTCATTCTATTACTAATATCAAATAAACTCTTTCTGCTGATCTTTTGTTCCAAAAACAGACAAGACAAAAATAGTAGCAGCAAGCAAGAACTAACTTAGGAAACCTATTCTAATAACTTAAAGAAAAATAAAGTAGACCAAAAACAACATTAAGTCTAATAGAAGCTCTTTTTTCTTTAAGTCAAATACAAAGTACAAAAGAATAGTTTGTTTTTTTTCTTTGAAACTTTTTTAGAAATTTGTTGAATTGGCAAAGTCTTAGTTTGGCAAATTAAATTAGGTTGCACAAAAACACATAAACAACAAAATAAACAAACAATAGATCATGTTCCCTTTTTGGTTAAGTAAATAAATTACAAGAAAACAACAATCATGCAATTAAACAACAACAGAAAAGCATATGGTCTTTTTTGAAAAATTTAGAACAATATTACTAGTTGATTATCATTTAAGTGCAGATTAGAAAATAAGTAAGTTATACAAGTAGGGGCTACTTAAGTTTATTTGAGGAGCAGGCAAAAAAAATCTTAGGTACTTAGATAGCAATATATTAACTAAAGCACTAAAAGACACAACATCACATAATCCAAACAATATAGAACAAATAACATACAGTATAGCAATTGGTAATCCAAATAAAATTACAAAACAGGATTTGTTAATTTATAGTCAGGTTTTCGAAGTGTTAAGGCAAATCGAAACTAGAAGCCTTGAAAAAACATTAATTAAGAAATGGGTAATGAAAGCAAGAATGACACAACACAATTCAGAAGCAATTAACTATATAGCCAATATGAGTAGTTCAACAATATTAAAGGAAAAAAACAGAATGGAAGTAAAAAAAGAAGATGTAAATATTAACTTTCAACTAATTGGTCCAAAAAAGTGAAAACAAGAAGAATCAACAGTTAAAACAACAGAAAAAAATGGTCAGAACAATAGCAATAATATGAAAGATCTTAATACAGTTATAGAAGCTAGCATATCAAGTCAAAACCACTGAACAACAAACTTAGAAAAGTCAGCAGTCAAGATTAGTAAAGTTGAAAACAAAAGTGAAAATAGTAAAATGTCTTCAAAAGCAAAATGCATTGAGTCAAGTTAGGATAATTCTGACTATACTAATAGAAAAGATACAGTCAAAAACTACTTATATTCAAAGATTTCCTTTCTTAAATACTTATTTGATGTCTTTCATATGCATATTATTCTTTAAAAACCATTTAATAAACTTTATATACTTTTTATCTGTTTTTTTCAAAATATCATATGCTGATATATTGATAATTAAGCTGTTTTTTGATTACAATTTCTTTTGCTTGGTGCCTATATACTTTGTTCTAATGCTATTTCTACTATATTGATTTCTTTTTTGGTCTTTTGTTTTTTTCTTTTTTGTCTTTTTCTTTTTTCTTTTAATATATTTTGTTTTAATTACTTGTCATTTATTTTTATATCTTTTTGTTTAATTATTCTTTTTTGTTCTTTAACTTCTTGCTTCTGAGTAGAAGGTCTAAATAATATTTTGT